CTCCCTCCCTTTCCACATATAATATAGGCTTGAGCCATTTGCCCTCCCCTCAGAACCCTCAGGAGAGCCCCGGTGAAGCTTCCTTCTCCTTCTCAGCTGACCTGCAGAACTGCCTGCCACATTGCTGGGGTGGTCAGCTCAGGTCACATGGTGGAACAAAGGGAGCCCCAGACTGTGAGGAATACTGCACCTCTGTTCCCCATTCTGGTGTGTCCCCAAGGGCACCCTCTCTCAACGGAGGAAAAGGGCTCACCCATGGACCACCGGCACCTCCCAGCCAGCCCTACCTTGCCAGCAGGTATCTAAGTCACTCCCTCATCCTTCCTTCAACACCCACAGCCATTAAGAGATTTCAAATTTCTGCCTTGTTTCCAAAGGAGCCAATCGCTGCTCACTCATTGGGCCTTGCCACCAGCTGATTGGGCACAGAGGATAAAGGGAGGTGGGAAAGAGATCAGGGATGCGCCCATGATAATCATGTGACTTGAGCTGACCACCGTGGCACGGCAACACAATGGTGCCGGAGCAGCCACAAATTTCAATCCCATGGGAGTAACAGGTCCTGGATTTTGGACACATTCTGTAAGTTAGCCCATTTGAGGTACCTTGGTTCAAAAAACTGTTGCCCTATGATGCACCATTTTGCCCAGTTGAAGATTACAGACATGAGAGTTTTAGGAGTATATAGATTTAAGATGGAGATGGGTGGGTGTTCTTTTACATCCACGTTTGGTCTGAATGATCAGTTCAGAAGAGGTTCTTTCCAGTTGAATCAAAGCTAATAAAGAAAATATTTGAATCAGCTTTTACATGGCCAAATCAGTTAAATGTTAACTTTGGGTTCCTGATTATTGAAACATTTATGCCACCTTGAACTGTGTATCGATCCTTTCCCAGTGAAATGGGACATAGTAACTGGATGACAGGAGTTGTAATCCAGCACAGTTACAATTTTGGGAGAACACAATTTTTGGGGAAACTGTCTTAGAACAGGTGTATGAAATTCACGATCCATTGACCATATTTCAGTTTTAGCACCTCAGCTGCAACCTCCTAGAACACTGAGAACGTAAGTGCCAACATTATATAATTACAATTTCTGGTAGTGAGATTTTCCAGATTCCCCCCATCCCTGCCAATATGGCTGAGCATGGAAAGGGAGGCCTTCTGGGTGCAAACAGTCCCCTTTTCACTTTAGTCTCCTGCCTAGTTTCCACAAAATGCCCCAGAAGTACACTGGCAAAATAAGCTATTTGGGCAGTGATTTTTGCAGTGAGATTTCTGGTTGCTTTCTGAAGTCTGGATTTTTTAAGGATGGGCATGCCTCCCGAAGTTTTTTTTTTTTTTTTTTGCTCCTATTCACTTTTTTTTTAAAAAACCTGCTAAAGAGC